TCATGACTTGCACTCGAAACCCGTGTTTTGGCACTCGAAACCCATGAAGCTCCAAAAGCCCAGCCCTCTCACCTGCACTTCGAAAGCTCGCACCTCTAAACAAGGCCTGAGCTGCTGCATGTCATAGACACCATTCCTCAGTCTCAGTCGTGAGAGCAATATACTGGAGGATGAGGAAGCAACTTCAGCTTGATCGGAGTCAAACATGGTTGTTTGGGGCTCTTCCAGCCATTGATTGACCACCATTCACCATCATGGACCACCTGCAGAAGATTCGCAGAATCCCGACACCACCCTATAGAATGGAACCTCTGATTGATTCAGTTCACAAGACCGTGGTACTTGTGCCTCAACAACTCCGTCCGGACCAGAAACAGTTCTGGTTGCTCCTTCCTATGGCACCAGCTTGAGATCCTTGACATAGGAAGTGACTGGGACTGGGGAGCTCCATCCAGAACTGTTTCTGCTCCATCCACGAGGTTTCCAGGGGCGGTCGTGGGACCTGTGCGGTTGAGACTCGCAGCAGTCCGATGTTGACCACTTGCCACAACGAGATTCGCTGTCCAAGTTGTCCAACTGAATCCAATCCGAAAGATGGCGTAGACGTATAGACGTATAGACGTATTATCCTAAAGAGATCGGCGCAACCATCTCCGAAACAACGCACACCAAGCATATATTCCAACCAGGTCCCTTCTTCCAGTGGGTCGTTGCCTGCGAGGTCTTCCCATTTTAATACACACCCAAGTGGCTGTTAAGCGTTATCAAATAACTTGACCCCTTCTCAGATCCTTCGACTAGACTTCACCTGCCTTCACGTTCGTCATATAACCATGGACAGGTTTGAGGGGTTCGAGGTGCGAGACAGGGTGGCAGGACCGCCGTGTCGGTTCGAACCAGTGGGTCGAACGCCGGATCAAGAGCTCTCGGACGGTGTCGACGAATCCAACCGCCTGAAGGGGCTTTTGAAGGGGTATCTAAAACCTCCAACCCATCGAAAAAAGAGCTCGAAAGATCAAGAGTCTCCATTGCAGGACCCTGGAGTTTCAACACCTTCAAAAAAACGGAGGTCCTAAAGTGGCACACCGAAACACCGTGACACACCGCGGCACGGGCGCAGTCGCTCGGCCGCCGCAGTCACGGCGCAGGAACTTTGTCTCCGCGGCGCAGCTCGGCTCTCCGCGAAACCGTCGACGGCCCAAAGCATGTCCGCCGCATGCTTCGCTTTGATCCGCGTCCCGGGATGGATCCCAAGAACTAAACGTCAGCAGTGAACTGCCCAGCGTTTCAGATGTGACTTGTGAAGAGCTTGGTTGAACGGTTGAACTGAATCAGTTCTGTGTAGAAAATGCTCTTGGCAAGTCAGATTTTTTCTCCAAATGAAGGACTCAATCCTCTGGACACATCTTGTCTTGAACAGTTTTGACTCTTAGAGTACCCCTCCTGATCAGGAAAGGTCCCCCCCATGCAGGATTCTAGAGGATCTTTACGTTCCCAGAGGTTCCACGGTCTACCCCTCCCGGTTCCGCGCTCCGTCGTCTCGTCGTGAAACAACGGGTCGCGACTCTCGCCCAACCGGCGTTCTTTGGACGCTGGGCTGAGTGGTTCCCTTCAGAGATGCACACCTTCTCTGATGCCCACAAGACCTCATTGAGAGCGGTTGAGAGATGGGAGACCGCTCTAAGGGCATCGTGAAGCGAACGGAACCAAGGGCATCGCGTAGCGGCATGAACGGAGCAAAAGGACGCTACTAAGGGGCGCTCCTGGCCTTACTACTAGGAACAAGGACGCTACTAGGAGCAAGGGCAATGAGGGGTGGGTGCCATGATGTCCTTTTGGGAACAATGGAGAGGTAACTGTTGGTTGTCGTACACGACTGGAGGTATCCCCTCTGTTCAACCAACCATTAAACGGGTGGGTTGGGAATCGTTCTTCCGCCGATCCCCAAAGAATTGGGAGGTTTTTGGGGCCTCAGGAACTTTGCAGGCTTTTGGAGGCTTTTGGCCCGACAACTCCAATCAAAATGTTTTAAAAAGAACACTGACCCGTTGGTGAACGATTCCTCGAATCATCCACGAAACCTTGTAAGCATTCTTGCCTTGCTGGGATCCAACTAATTACTAGGCCCCAGGCAAAGCGGTTGTGGCGCTGCTTGGACCAGACGTTGTCAGGGCCAAATCTTAGAGAAAATACATGAAAATACAGGGGTAGGTTACAGTACAGTGGAGATTCCTCGAAAAGGAGTTCCGAGGGTATCACCGAAAACCGAAATCCATCTCAATAACATGAATAAGGCAGATTGCCGTACGCATATGGTGTCCAAAAACCAAGCGCACAGTCGCGCACGGTTCTAGGGTACAACCTTCGGTTCGCTGAAGTGGGTGGGGTCGAATTGGAACATGTAGTTTCCGGTCCCCGGTTCGCCACTCCTTCGCATCGAAACGCGGTCCATCTGAGCACCTTTACTGGGTCGCGGTTCCACGCTCGGTGCTGCGCGCGACACGGAGACCTGGCGAGGTGAGGCGGGGTGCGGGGCGGAAGGTGGTGACCTGAAGGTTCAGCTGACGACTTCGGTGGTGTCAGCTGAACCTTGTGCTGAGCATCCAGCATCCGGTATGTAGTGCAACCCAAAACCTTTCCTTTGCAACACAACAGTAGGTAGCAACTTATCTGAGTGAACATATTGCACTACAGCCTATGTGCAGTGGGCTTTCTTAAGCGCTCCCAAACCGCCTCCGAATCGCCAGATGCAGCAAGTAACGCTAGAGAGCAGGAGCTGGAGAGCAAACACCAGAGCATGCAGGAACTACAAGTAGGGGGCAGGAGTTGGGGAGCTGGTAGACAGAAAGCACATCCCAACCGCAAGAATGACGTCGCCAATGCAAAAGCGAGTTGCTAGGTATGCCCAAATACCTGCACTTTGTTGCTGCGTAGTGGTTTGCACTGGAGACAGAAAGCACGTCAGAAGTGCAAAGGCTGTTGCTGACACAGAAGCCTGTTGCTAGATGAACGCAGATACCTGCTCCCTTGTTGCGTGCGAACGTTGTCCTCTCCCCGGCAACCAAGAGAGAAAGCACAGCACTTCCGTGCACACTATTGTCGACACGACTGCTCCTGTGCATAGTTCAGCTATGAGTACGCACCGGTCCGGTTACTTTGGAATGCACAGAGCATGTTCTGTACTGTGCACAAAGAACGCTCTGCACTGCGGGCACAGTTGGCGCGGAACTTCTGGCAGGGACACGAGTAGTGGTGTCCTGCCAACGCTAAGTGATCACACAAAAATGGCGCGAAGTTGAGACCGACGGCGGAGTCAGCCTCCCTAACGTGTGAACGTGAGACGACAGCCATTTCCCTTCGGAGTAGACGATGGAGCTCCGCTGCCGAACAATGGCCAGTGGGCGCTCACAGAGCTCTTGCCAGGGGCACAGCAGCTCAACATGGGCGTGAACCCATGGCTCTTGCGGCGGCAGGTAGTGGCTCCGTGGGCGTTTTCGGGAAAGGGTGGTGCAGTTCTCTTGACTCAGATGACGTGTTTTAGTTGACTAGGATGGGCTCTTGCAAGCAGGCTGATGGCAAAGCTGGCTCTTGGCTCTGTGCCTCAAAGATCCTCAAAGCACCTATCTGTTGGAAAGTCTAAACAAAACAGCGCCTGACAGCACCAGGGTTCGGAATTCCGACTGTCAGGCACCTTCAGGCCAACTGTGGACCACTCCCGGAGATTGAACCCCAACTGCATTCTGCTGGGACGGGAAGTTCAGCTCGACTCGCAGACGTTCTGCACCAGGAAGGATTGGACACCTGCACGTCTGAGACCTGTGGTCGTGGGTCCAAATCAACAAGAGACCTGTGGGCCTGTGGGCCTGGGAAGATGGTGCGAAACCTCAATATGTCTGTTTTGCATTTCAGCAAGTGTTGTCAGGCTCAATACTCTTCCAAATGATGCTTCAACAAATATATCCTTCACCATCCTTCACCTACTACCTAGCACTTCCTGTCCGGGTGCCCTGGAGTAGGAGACCTCTGTACGTAGGCTTGTCCAGCCAGGTGACCCGTTTTCGTCGCAGGTCCATGAACGGACCGAGCCAGTTATCTTCGCCGGGCTGACTTCGCCTGTTGGATTGGAGTGGGGAACCAAGAATTTCCCCGAGCCAGTTCTCCTTGTGAAAAAGGAGACTCACCTGCAAAGTCGTCCACTTGTCCTGGGGTGAGGGTGAAGATGCTGACACAGGAGCTGACACCTGGTGTCAGCCGGAATGGCCTTGCGAAGGAAGATGGTGGCGGATCAACGGGCGAAAGAATTCGGACAAAAACATGGCGTCACCTGCAATGGTTGTGAGCCAAATCTCCAGGAACTTCCATGTGAAGGTGACTAACAATGGGGAAACTGGAACATTCTTGCAGTCTTTGAATCTCTTTGCAAGTCTTTGGGCAGGTGTTTTGATGTGTTTCCAACGTTGTGATCTCATCCAATGACGTCTTCACCCAAATGTTCTTATCCGATGGCTCCCCCTCACGCAAAGCCTTCGCGTGTCCAGCTCCACCTGACGCTCCACTCCGCTCCACTCCACCTTTCTCCTCCGCATCCCGCGTCGCGTCGCCACTTTCTCTCCGTTGGGACGCACCACGGACCGATTGCGAGACAGACCGATCTGTGACGCATCGCAACGATCTGTACACTGTACAAGAGTGCGGCGATCCTTGGTAACCCACCCCACGCACCACCGTCGACTCCGTTCCGCCGACAAGCTGTGACAAGCGGTGAAAAGATGTAGAAAGGCATCCTGCGGAAAAGGAATGGAGATGTGGAAGATGTTGGAACACAAGCTATGAGTTATGACATGTTCTGACTCATTTATGTTTAATTCTTTCATGGCATAAACCTCCAGGGGCCCCAGAAACCATCAAAGACTTGGTGTTCCCTAGCAAAAAAAGCAGGTCTTTTTGGTACGTAGAGAAATGGGACACTGAGGGCCACTGGCTTCATCTCCAACTTCTCTCTACTCCAGACATCGTCCGGAGCGGCGCTCGTCCACACCGGACAGCCGGTCCCGCAGACAGGCCGGAGGATGGACCCGCGTCTCGAGTGCACGCAGGAGCTGCCCATCATCCACCTGGGCGGATGAACGTCTGCGTCGAACCCCTCCGTTTCCCTCGAACAAAGGTCGACTCCGGGCCATCCGAAGAGAAACTGAGAGAAATCGAAACATGTGAAAGTGGTTCTGTCGTTTCTTGTGTCCTTGCCGTCCGGACGATGTGATGTGCATGTGATGCGTGGTCTTGTTTTTGTCCAAATCCGTCAGGTCCTGAAGCGCTCCGGCGTCTGGAGGTGTTCCTCCTTGCATCCGACCCATTCCTTCGAAGCATTGGGGTTATGATACGTCAGACAGGAGTGGATCACCGAAGGGACGGGGACCTCTTGGAGATGAGTCAATGAGGGCCGACCCAGTTGACCACCCAAAGCAACCAGAGCAACCAAAGGGCCGACTGGCACTGCCCGGGCATGGCGTATATGGGAAGGTTCGAACATCCAATCCATCTGGAAGCAAAACCAAGAGCTGGAAACCGAGCCAACAACGCAAGGCCAATAGAAGTCTGAGAGGAATCCAAGAACAAGGAAAAATAGAACAATCGTGACATGAGGCTGTTTCAACATCTGTGGATCTCATTGAAAAAGTTTTTCAGAGGCTGATCTCCTGTGACAGGCAAGGATCAAAGCCTCAAACAGGATGCAGCTTTGAAGGGCATGAGAGGTGTTTCAAGAAAAGTATTATAGGAATGTTTCAAGACATATTGAGAGACTATCAAATGAATCGTTCAATCGTTCTTCCCCCCAAGGAAAGGATTTGGGAGGGATTGATCACCAAAACAGCGGCATGTCTGTTCCCCCCCTGTCCATCAAGATGACAATGACTATTAAATAAGTCTGGTAAGGTTGGGAAGTCCAATTTCTTCGACCAACGATGTGTTGAAGTATACCATCCGTATATCCCTCCATCCAACAAACATGGAAGTGGAACCTGAGATATGTTCGAGATGATCTGTTCACAGGGGCCCCAAAATAGAGTATGTACAATAGACTATACAATGTGCATGATTAGGACAAGACTTACAGATGAAAATGATTGGTTGGAGACACAAGATCTCCCTGCTGCGGCTGCCTGCCAAGTCACGTATTTCTGTGGCTCGTCGCCTGGCCTTTGCCACGTCGCCGTGATCGGCCATTGGCTGCTTCGGTGAAACGTGCACACCTCAAACCAGCCGAGTCCCGTGCAGTCCCATGGAAGTCCAGTCATTGAACATGGTTGACCTGGTGACGTAGTGTAAAACCCCTATAGTAACACATATAGGGAAGGGTTTGGTTCGGCTCCAAACCCCTGCTATGGAGAGCCCAAACAATTCAATCCCTAGGGATCCGTTTTCGTACCGTACGGTACGGTGTTCGAGGGTCTATTAGCCGGTGCCAGGAGGGTCCGTACCGAACCTGAGAAGGACTGGATCCGGGGGTCCTGGTTCTTCCCGAGTCGATCAAATCCGCTTCGAATCGGCGAGACACCTTGATCGTGCCATCACCCAGAACGACTGCTGGCGGAGCGAATCGCATGACTCTTGATATGAAGAACCCCCCTCCCCGGGCTGGATTGAAAAACCTAGGGGTTATTCATCAAGAGTCTCATGTAGACTCTTGATTAATATAATGGAATAAATATGAATAAACCATGGAAAGGTTGTTTTACTACATTAAGTACATGACGAGGGACTTTCAAACACGTTTTCTCAGGGTCCCAACCCAAACGAGAGGATTCCGCCGGGAAGGCCCAGTACAGCAAAAGGTGTGGCCGTTCGAGGGAAGTGCCATGCATGGTTAAGGATTTTACACCAAAAAAACGGCTCCACCGAACTCTTTCATGGTCTTCTCGGTCTCAGACCAACTGTACATCGATTCAGATGGGGAGTTCAACAGGCTCGTTGGACTGGCGTCCGAACCGCGTGTGTTTTGAGAAGGGACGCTGTTGATCTCATGCATCATTTCCGAGAGGTGTGAGACATCTCGGGAAGAGTTATTGATCAAGAGTTAAGATCTCCCCACAAACCATCAAAGACCTGGTTTCCCCTTGAAAAGACATGGTGGTTTGTATGTGAAAACCCTCAAAATTGTTGATAATTGTTGTAATTTTTGATGGGAAACTGAGGGTCACTGGTAAGGGGTAGCAAGCAAATGGATCCTTCAAGCTGGGATCATCTCGAACAACGCATGAGGCTGTTGGTTGTGGGCTTGTTTTGGCGTTCCTTTGCTGGGCTCCGGACCAGCTCAGAGTGCTGTTCTAGGGCAGCCAAGTGCTCGTGAGAGAAGATCAGCTCCCATTCAGCCTATCAAAGCGATTTCCCACCCATGCCGAGGAGCTCCGGTGGTCCAGGCGGAGGACGGGTCTTATAGAACTATCGAACCACCAAAAATGAAGGGTTGTGTTGGTATAGTTGTATATACTGTCTCACCCGCTGTGTCTACAACGGAGTCCTACAACTCTCAGTGCCACCAGCGCGGGGCGACGGGTCTTCAGAGGTGAAGCCTCCTACCTCTGCAGGACCCCCTACCTCATCGAATTTTCGGCCGCAGCTCTTCGACGAAATGAACACCGACCACGTCCTGGACCACGTCCTCGTCCCGTCCCCGTCCTTCTCGCCGAACACGCGGATGGGTCCGCGAGCGTGGAACGCGCCTCGGTCTCCTGCATGAGCAGGGCCTTCTGCTGACGTCCCAGCTCGACCATCAAGGGCTCCTGGCAGCGCGGGGCAAAGCGTGGTGGCGAAACGTGGTGCTTCTCTTCGGATCAACACGAACTTGGAACACATCTGCCTGGACCTGACTGCAGAAAATAGGACATGACCCCTGAAGAAAAGGAGTATATGTACATCCATTTTCTGAGGTATATATATAATTGCTTTGAAACTCCAGGTGGGTTCTTTCTGAAAGTCTCTTCAACAACATATTCCGACAGTTTCTGACATGTCCTTTACCAAATAAGTATCTCCTTGAACTGGGTGTTTTTTGAGGGAGTAAATGCCTCAATGTCGGCTCGTGGCGGGGCTGAGAGTTGTTCAAGGTCTGATGACTTCTGAGCTCTCGAGCGATGCTCTTGGACTCTAGCACTCTGGCGTGAACCTCGGCCGAACAAGCCTTTTGAGTTTCCAAAGCCATGGTGTTCGACCAAGGTCATACAAACCACGTTGAGGAATACGGAAGACTGTACATCAGCGGTACAACCCATGAGTCCTCCAAGGTACCACCCAAAACCAGCGGAGTTGGACCAAAACCCCCCAAAAAAAAAGACAAGACACCGCCAAGAGGCAAGACGGAGCGGTTGACGGAGCGGTTTCGAGCGGTTTTGAGCTCCTCCATCTTCAAGGACAGGGCTTCCTTCACGAGCTCAGCCTCAAAAAGTCGGTGCTCCGATGGTCAGAGCGAGGCTGAACTGGACCTCGGCCTGATCTATTGTCTGTGAGGGACACCAAGAAAAACGTCTACGGATTTCTATGGTAATTTCGGGGGTCATACCTATTTTAGAGTCAAGCTGAAGATTCTTTTCCGAACGACCCAGAATTTAGAGAATGTTTCGCTTTGGGATTTACACCCAAGAACCCCTGTTTGACACGGTGTTTATAGTGTTCCCCAAACAACCTATATATATATATACATTGACCTGCTGTGGATGCAAAGAAGCTCATGCCATGTTGAAAGAAAATTCTCTGCTCAACGACTCGATTCTACTGATAACGATCATGCGGCTACCATGCGGATCAACTGACGCAAGTGGTCTCCTGCCTGTCTGCATGTCCAGCCCAGTCCTTTAGCTATTAGGCTTCACCTTTAGTGGTTTTTTTCGTCAGAAATCACCTGTCTATAGTTTTACTAGCAAAAGGACCTTCGGACCTACCAGTGGTCTCAGAATACGCCTTCTGGAACATTCAAACCAACCAACTGAGGGCCACGGGCAGAGCCCGCCCGCGCACCGCCGCACCTTCCGGCGGCCCGGCAGGGCGGCATCCCAGAAGGCGGGGCCAGACGCAAGGACCACAGGGAGCGGCTTTGCAAAGGAGACCTGAACCAAGCGGAGCGGCAGAGCTTTGAAGAGAACTGGAGAACCTTCTCGAATTGGCCGACCTTGGGACCTCTTGGGACCTCTTGGGACCTCTTGGGACCTCTTGGGACCTCGGGTGTTGCTTGGGAAACCTCGGGTGTCCAACGGAAAACTCTCTTTGTTGCGGGTATGCTTGGTGAGGGTAGTTATACAAAAAGATTCGCGGCCCACCCTTGATGTCCTTGGCCTGAATCCCGGCCCCAACCATGACGAAGGGTTTGAGTTCAGATCAACCATTAAACAAGGGTCTTGCACTTCCGGGTTTTGCGAAGCCACGCACTGAAATAGAGCATCATAGAGAGCATCATGGAGAGCATCATAGAGCATCCAGATATATCCAGATTCAATATAGATTTCAGTATGTTGTCCAACAAACCCATGAATGTCACGATGCAAGTTCAAAAACCTGAAGTCAAACTCCCCCGAAAAGAATAACGTTCTTGCGTGGCTCTGTTTGGCCTCAACCCAAAGCTCATCACATAAGCGCCATCCACCCCATCGGTGCGGCTAGCCTCACATCTGGCTCATGAAAGCGAAGAAAGAGGGGAGGGTGGCAAGTGGAGTCCCACAGTCCTACCTGGAACCCCAAACAACCAGAAAGAAATGGATGTTTTCCCAAACAACCATTTCCTATGTAAAGGATTTCAATTACCATATTTCCTAGTACTTGGACGGAGTGGGCAAGATGGCACCCCGACAGGGTGACTAAACCACCAAACTTGGACAGCAATCGAAGCTCCGTTTTCGAGTGAATTCTGGTCGGACGTCCAGTCTGCCCTCCACCCGTCCAGTCTGCCCTCCACTTGGCCCAAGCGATGTTGCCTTCGGCTGCCCCATGACCCTTTGACCTAAAGAAGGGGGTAGATTTGATTCCTGTTGATGGCCAAGCCGAAGGGCGACCTCACCAATGGCTTGCTTTTTTGGCGCAGCCCCTTTGGACAAATGGACGCTGACCCTTTGGGTGTGAAAAAGTGCTCACCTTTGTTGAATCGAATCGAACGGTGACCCAAGTGACCCGGAATGTCCTGAAACCTTCAGTTGGTCAAAATATAGTCGAACTGGACTTCGTTCGGGTTAGGAGCTGCGAACACAAAAAGAACAACAAATTAAAAGACCATCTGTTTCACTCGGCGAAAAAACGTGGGTTGGACCTGTCGTGGACCTGCGAAAGTCCGTGGCTTTCGCCACAGCGCCGGGCGGCCACCCATCACCGGACCGATGCGCAGGGTCAGCTGCGCGAGCTGCGCGAAGCTCGTGGGCCTTAACAAGGTTGGCATGGGTGTAATCCTCGCCCTCCTGGTTCTGCTGCTCCCAGCGGTACGGCACCGTCCCCAGAGTGTGCTCCAAGTCGAATTGAGTGTACCTCTACCAGTCCGGAAGGTGACAACACGTGTGTCTAACTGGCAGGTGGAATTTTGGGTGCCAATCTCCACGTCTGGCGCACGTGACTTCATGGTCAAGGCAGTTCATGGTTGAAAGGATTACTCTCCCATGTACCGCACCACCTGGGGTCTTCGACCTTCTTCGACCATGTTCACGCCACTCCGTAGAGACAAAACCTATAACGAATGAAGACGGACCAACCTAAACTTAGGGATTCCAGAAATACCAAGCCCAATCAAATCCAATGACTCGGTAGAACTACAAAAAGCTATGAAGAGTTAGTGTCAAACAAAAGCACATGACTGACAGGGAATGACCCGACCATGATAGATACCTTCAGGATCCATTGCCTCATTCCTTTGTTAGCACCAGTCAGATGAGTAGATCGATGAATGTAGATTGTGATTTAAGACCTATTAATGTTGTTCCTTCTTCCTATCTATCCCTAGAACATGATTGACCCCTGTTTTGGAGCCAAAACATGGTCTTTTCCTATCAAAACAGAGGTCAAATGGGGTCTAGGTCAGTAGATGCATGAAATCATGCCAAGACCTGTCGCCGGGACGGCCATGGACGGCCTGCAAGCTTGCATGGTCAGTTCCGACGAAGGACGAAACGACTGGGACGACCGGTGGCACCGATCCCCTGGGGGTTCAGGCCGAGAGTTCGGGGTGTCTTCCGAAACACACACCCTTATAGTAACAAGAAGCTAATAGGAACAAGTGCACATGAAGGCCAAGGTTTTTGCTTCAACCTCTCCGCACCCGGAGAGAGGAGCGTGGAGGATGCGGCACCGACCCCAGTCCGACCGGTGCACATGGCTTTCCAATCGTTCCAGTCCGGCGGCCGAGCAAACCTGCGAAGCGGTGTGACGTGCGGGTGAAGAGATGCTTTGTGACACGAACGAAGGCTGCAACGTTTCGACCGACTTTGTAAGTGAGGAGGAACATGGAGGAACAAACCCTTCCAGCTTCCAGCTCCTCTTGGAAGAAGGAAGAACGATACCTCAGGTTCCGCCCACGGCAGTGAATCCCATGAAGCATCCTGAACCCCCACGGTGGGAGTTTTCTTCCAGCCCGAGCCGATGCTAGTTGCCATTTCCTACGCCCCACGAGTTCGCAGGAATCCTGGGCCTGTGAAATCCAAGCTCCTTTCAACTGATATGATATAATTGTGAAAGGCTCTCACCGAGGGGCAAGCAAACAAACGCTCATGGCTCCCTTTTCCTCAACCTTACGAGACCCTTGTGCCTGAAAGGTCATCGGCCAAGGGTGGCAAGTCGTGCCATGCGAACATGTCGGAACAAAAAGGTGTGCTTTTACACCGGTTCCAAATCCTCAAAGCTTTAAAGGTAAACTAAGCCATCCCTTATCGACGGCCGACCACCACTCAGTCGGGTTCATGCTCTTCGTAAGCACATCGGCAAGTTGGTCACCCGTTGGGAGCCAGTGAAGTGGTGGTTTGAGGGCCGCTTGCGGGGTTGGCCTTTCGCTCATGCCATGCTGACTGCGCCATTGGTGCCAAGCTTCAGTCATCAGGCCATGGCGTAGTCCAGCAAGATCTATCGCCAGTCGTTTCTCGCTCGGAGCCCGGGGAACTCCTTCTCTATGGATGTGGTCATAGAGGCTGCGGCAGTCCGTGACCAGGTGCACCTCCATTTCTTTTCCTGCTTCTTCTCCTCCGAAGACCTGCCCGGTGATGATGGACAGGAGCAAACTCCGGAGGTATAGGCTGTTCTCGAAGGCTTCGCACCCAGCCATGGTTTCTCCTGCAAAGGTGGATCGGCACACCCTCTGAGAAGCTTTGCTCTTCCAGTCCACCAAGCTGAAGGAACCGCCGTCTGGGGTCAGGCATTTCCGGTCAGCCACCAAGGTGAGGCTAGCCAGCTGTGATGCCGTTGTATGGTTTCCGAGCCACTGGTCATCTCCTTCTTCTTGAATCTCTGCCCCCACGTTGCCCCAGGCGGCGTCGTGGTAGGCCAGGATGCACATGTCTTCCTCTTTGATCTTTCGGAGCTCGATTCCGTGTTCCTTGAACCTTTGACTGCTCACGATGATCTTGTTCGTCTCCTTCAAGTCCTTGATGGTGGGGCTCTGCTGCTTCCGCTGCGCTTGACACACAGCAAATTGAAGATCTGGCCTCGTCTGCTTCGCCAGCCATGACAAACATCCGATGGCAGTCCTGTTCTCCTCTTTCTGGACGGCGTTGGCTGCTTGTTCATCCTCAGCGTCGGCTGGCACATTCACCTTGTCCACTCGGCTGTTGGCATACAGGCGCTGGTGGATGAGGATGCGGTCGTCCTGGCACTGATACTCGCAGCCAACGTATTCGAACTTGTCATTCTCCCATTCATCAACCGGGAACTTCTCCTTGATCATGCCCTGCAGGTTCTGCATGAGCTCTGCATCGGCCATCAGCATGATGTCGTCCACATGGGTGAGGAGCAATGCTTGAGTGCCACCATTCTTCCCTTTTAGCATGAAGATGCAGGGATCAATGATGTTCTGCTCGAACTGCAGCTCCTCTCCGTTGGCCTTTACCTTCATCTCTTGGAGGTCAGTGGACAGCTTCATCCACCACAGCTTCGGACTTGTGGAAAGACCGAAAACCCCCCTTCAGGACCTCGACGATTTGTCCTGGCTCCAAAGATGGGATGCCCCTCTTCGGCTGTCTGAAGTACAGGTTTCTTGGGGCCGGCAATCCATTCAAAAATGCTGCCCTGATGTCTCCCACGCTGACCTTCCAACCACGAGCCAAGGCCACCTGGAGGGATAGGATGATGGAGTGTCGACTGACCGTCGGAGCGTCCGTCGCCATGTCGATTCTGCCCAAGTCAGGATCCCATTGTCCAGCGACGCATAGTCTAGCCTTCGCCTTGGGCCCGATGTCAGCGTTCGCCTTCCTCTTGGCGTGGTTCTTGTCCCTGTAGAGGAATCTTGAGGAGAGGATCCGTTCCGCCGGGACTGTCTTCTCTACTTCAGCGCTCTCTTCGAGGGAGAGAGGGCGGACGGCTTTGAACTGCACATGCTCGTTCCATTGCTTTTCCTCAGCTGCTTTGTAGAGCTCTCGTTCCTCCGGAGGTATGGCGTGCCAGGGAAGTTCTTTCTCCAACTGCTTCTCTTGCCCCCGTGCCGAGATGGCCCTCTTCACGAGGAATGGTCGGTGAACTCTGCTCTTCTTCATGGCCAGCGGGACGTCGTCCAGGACATGTGCCTTCCGCGCGGCAGACTGAATCGCCCGGGCAGCGTGTCCGACAGGGTCCGGACGTAGTTCCACCTCCATGCGATCTTCTTGTGAACTTCGCACTTGGCTTCCATCTGGTTGAGGCCACCCTTCATGCTCTGACAACACTTCTTCGTACTCATCGTTGGCCTCGTCGTTCAGCAACTCCTTGAGCTCTCTCATGGCCAACTTCAGGCGTAGTCCTTCATTGACTTCTTCATGAGTCGCTGTCCGTAGGTGTTCAGGTGCACATAGAAGGCATCGTCCTCCTCTCGCCAGCCAATAGTTTTGCCCTTCACGACCTATCACTGTGCAGGGCCCCATCCACCTCGTCCGCCCATTGAACTCCCGGTAGGCGTAGACGAGCTCTCCTGGTTCGAAGGATCTTTCTTCCACCCGAGGTTTGTGGGCCAAGGCACGCTCTAGTGCCTCTTTGGACTGGCATTGAAAGAAGGCTGCCCTGGCCGCCATCTGCATTTGGTGCCGCCTCCCAACCTTCTCATCGGCGGTGATGGCACATATCGCGGCCACATCTTCGTTGGCGTCGAACAGATCGCCTGCCACCTTCATTTGGTTCCCGAACACCCATTGTCGAGGTGAGTAGCCGGAACGGTTGCGCAGCTGGTTCTTTGCGTCTGAAGTGGCTGCCATAGCCTCCTTGACCTCGGTGTCCAGGATGCACTGCTCTTCAACCAGCTTGTCCCAAATGTTCTTCCATGCTCCTCCGTGCCTCTCGGCCAGCCCATTTTGCCAGTGTGCTTGGCCTGCAGCGCAACGAACAGTGACCATTCTTTCGTTCATCACCTGGAGGAACTGGTCCTTGAAAGCCGAGTCCAGGTCCACAATGAGGTGCTTGGGTGCCCCGGCCCAGCTCATCCATCCATCAACCATCGCTCTTCCCACCTCCTCGGACTTGGTGTTGTCCAGTGGAACCACAACCTGGTAGGTGGATGCAGCGTCCACGATGTTCAAGGCCGGCAGCGACTGGGTCTCCACCGTGTCCACCCAGATGATGTCTGCGGCCACCACTTCATTGAAGTCGAGCATCACTGCCGGATGTGCGGGTCTGGCCGACTTGGCCTTGGTGCTTTTGGCACAGGTGCGACACACCATCTGTTCGGCAGCACGGATCACATTCTCAGGGGCCTTGCCAATCTTGAGGTGCCGAATCAGCTCTCTAGCCGGTGGATGTCCAAGGTTCTGGTGAAGTCGTCGAAGGGTGGCAGCAATGATCGGCTTGACTTTCCCTTTGAAGTAGATGGCATTCGCCCCCCCTCGGTTCTTCCACTTCCTCCTCTGATCTCACTTTTCCTGGCACCGTACGGCTCGGGTAGTTGGTCGACACCTGGCTTCTCTTCCGAGCTTCATCGAAGGCCTTCACCACCTCCTGGGCAAAAGTTGCGGGGTAATGAGCAGAAGCTGCGGTGTCCTTCCCCTCGATGGCCCGATGTCCATGACCGTTGTCGCACCGTTTTGTAAGCCTCAGAGCCAACGGCACGTTGTTGGTGAGGAGTGACAGTCCCTTCCGTAGAGGCATACCATCTTTCAGGCTCACCAGACCATACTGACACAGGTCGACCTCTGCAAAGGTGATCCCAGGTTGCCCCACCAGTTCACTGAGGGATGATTCTCTCCACAAAGCACTTCCCCGTGGGTTCTCTATGACAACCGTGCCATGGAGCAGCTGCTGCAATTCGAAGATTCGCCTGGTGAACTTGATCAGCCCTTGTTCTCTTTTGCGCCTCCTCCTGAGCTCCTGCGGGGTGTAGTTGAGCCTTGAGAAGTTGCACCAAGCCGTACACGGGGGCGCCAACCATACCATCTTCGGTCTGTGCGACCACATGTCTTCCACCACGAGCTCTTGCTGTGCGGGGTCTTTCAAGTCATGGTTGTACCTGATATCTCGTGGTTCAAGTACTCCCCGTCTTCTGTTGGCGAAGGCCGCCGAGATGTTGGCTTGTCCAGCGAAGAGCTCCAAGATGTCCGGCGTTTCCTCAGCCGGCTCATAGTGGCGGGGTTGCATCACGGCCCATGCATCCCAAAGTGGGTCTCCCATCACTTCCTGCGCCCAGCTCCCAAATGCCACCGAGCACGTTGCCATCACCTGGAAGACTGAGCGAACGGTGTCCCTGATCCTCTCCTTAGTGCCTCGGTTCTGGAAACGACGACGTCGCAGACCCTCCACAGCCCTGCGACGAACTTCCGAGGATGCCAACGGAGACCTCGACCTGGATGACTGCCTTTCGGGACTCTTCTCTGTCCTCTCCTCCCCACTGCTGGTCACATTCTCGTCCCCCGAGTTCATCTCCCCGTCATTCAAATGGACGTTGATGGCCCCGGGTTCATACTCAGAGGAGTCCTCATCGTCATTATCAAGCATCATGACATACTTGAGGTCGGGGTGCATCCAACCTCCTCCGCCCTGTCGTCGATGGCATTGCTCATCTGCCTCCGTCACTTCTTTGGGCTTGCCGCCTGCTTCTTCTTGAGAGCCGCCAATTGCGCCTCCAGGCTCAGAATGAGCTCTTCGGGCGTCTCGTGGATGTCCTCCGCGATGTCCGTGGGCACGGGAATCTCGGCAGCCTTCCTCGTGAGCCTCTCCGCTGTGTTCTTGGTGACCTTGGACCATGACGTGTCCGAGGAGCTTCCGCCCGATGGCGGTGGTACCACTGCCAGGGCTTCCGGATCTCGCCCGAGGTCGGGCTTCTTGACATACCCCTTGGTGGCGTTCTTCCGGACCAGTTCCTGGCCTGCCCATGATGCCAGTCGTACCAGGTCCTCGTGAGCGTTGGGATTGCTCTTGGACTCGCGGATGGCCCATTCCAGGTAGCCGGTCGGCACCTCCTGGTACATCCACCCCTTGTACCTCCCGAAAGGCACCACTGTCGTGCCCGGGGTGTGGCGTGACTCGCGCAGCAAGCGCATCATCAATCCCCTCGTGGGCTTTGCCGGGATGCTGATGTTCTCCTTCTTGGCCTCCTCCACCAACTGCTCCAGGGTGAGCTTGCTCAGCCCCTTCATGCGGTCCTCCTCGTTGGGTTTCTCCAGCTCTCGCTGCTCCACCAGGATTGACCGCAGCTCCGGCACCGTCCAACTGGAGTGCACAGGGACCCCACGATCGTTGAGCTCGATCAGGAGTTCCTGCTTCTTCATGTTCCATGGCGACGGAACTTGGGCAGGCATCCGTGGTAGGGGCAGCAGTCGTCAGGCACGTCACGTGCGGCTTGATCTTGCTGAAGCGGCTGCGACCGATCCAAGGGCAAATCATGAACTTCTCTTCACTCTCAAAAGACTCTTCTACCTTGGTGACTACCTCAATGCCTTCAGACAAACAGGGGATGGCTTCCGTTGTGCGATGTCCATCAAGTCGTTTCAGCAAAACATCTTTCAAACCAAGCAAACGTGTATTCCATGAAGTGGGTGTGAACAAAGTGCGACGTGGAACGACGTGGATGCGGATGAACTCAAATTCAGTCTCAATCCAAAAATCTCTTGAATGCTTTACTTGCTTCCACCAACAGAAGTAGCTCGCCCCACCGAGGGGGCTAGGAGTGCTCAACATGTTCTCGACCTCTTTGGAAAGCACCTTGGGGTAAAACAAAGGTTGCAAAGCGGACGACTGCGCAGCCATGTATGCCTCAATGGCGGGCACGTACACTTCTCCGGTGTTGTCACCGGTCACAAGTGGAGGCTTTTTGCCGTCGTAATCGTTCACCAGCAGAGCAGGATGCCCCGTGGGGCTGGTGTACAAAGCTATGTTCTCAAGGTGCAATGCCCGGAGGTTCACCTCCTGCTTTTCCAAATCATAGGTCATGCCAAGAGCTCCAAGCACTGGCCTGCTCAGCAGAAGTGGAACTGCGCACGGAACAATGGCCACTTTGACCAAAAACCATTGTCCACAAACGGAAAACCAAGCTAACACCCCGAAGGTGGATGTATACACCCGGGATGCTCCAAACTTGAAAAATTCCTCGTGATCATAGGTGGTGGTGCTGAATCCTAAGGCGTCAGCCATGTCGCAGTAGGCCTCGAACCAACCATGGCCGGCCACCGTCTTGGTGCACGCTGTGTCCACGATAGCCAGGAGGTTGCCCTTCACAAAGTCCGCAACCACGGTCTCCTGGCTGTCCGTGACATAGCATTCATGGACACAGCTGCACATCTGCGCTGAGTGGACGTTCATCTGAACGTCATGGGGCTTTCCCCGATCACCTCCGGCTCCACCCGCTCGATCACGAAGGGGACACTCAGGGTCTTTGTGCCAGTGACCTTTTCTTTTGCAGGCCGAACAGTAAGAACGTTGCTTGGCCAGCTTGAGGCGCTCTTCTGAGCTCTTGCGAACTTCCTCCATGTCAACTCCTCGGCCGCGAACCGCCTCTCTATACTTGGCCTTGGCATTCTGGTAAGTCATGTAGGCACTGTGGGCGGCGGCGGCCACATCTTCGGCCACCAAATCATCTTCCTCAGCGGCTTGGGAGTCTCCCTCACTAGACTCTTCCACCGCCTCAGTCATGTGTACGGAGTGGCGCTGCTGCCACTTGTCACTCCTCTTCCAGCCGGTGTTGCTAAAGTTGCCCCCAGCAGGTCGTCTAGTTGACCGGTCCTGGATCAATGCGGCCTGCTGCAACTTCTTCACGTCAAACTGGTTGTTTACGCTGGAGAGAAGGGAAAGCTCTTCCTGCTCAGGGAGGTGCAACTTGTCCAAGTACAGCCATGCCTTGATGAGCGGTGGAAGTTCACATTGCACCTCATGTAAACGAAGGACAAGGCGTTCAAACTCGACATTGAATTCTCGGACCGGTTGTTCCGGCTTCCTCCTGCATCGCTTGAAGAGGTCCGTCATCATGGAGGAAACCTTAGTGACTTCCACCTCCATGAAGCGAGTTTGAACCCACTCCAAAAAGTAGGAGACACCATTCTCTGTTGCAAGGATGTCCACATCCAACTCCTCAGCATAGACCCAGGCCTTCCCGCTGAGCTCGTTGTAGAGGGCGAGGGCTCTTTGGTCAGGAGGCATTTTAGTACACCTCAACCAAACCTGCACCTTTCTCACATACGACCGGGCCGTGCGGTCGAGATCGGCCTCCGAAGTGCACTCACCGTCGAAGCCGGGCACCACTAGTTTCTCCGTTGCCTTACCTCGGCCACCTCTAGGGTCATCCCATTCGTGGTGATCAGCCCATCGTCCCCCAGCGCCGGTTGGCTCAGTGTCATACGAACCAGACCAGCGACCATTGACCACAGCGGTCGTCCTGTCTATTCTAGCCGTGTTGAATTGTCTCATTTGATGATCTGTCAACCAACCGTCGGTCGAGCCGCTCCACGGGTCACCTCCATCGCCCCACGGATCGCTCGGGTGTCCAGGGTCCTCCCAGTCCGTGTCGTTCCATTCCCATCGGTCGTGCGACGGGGTGGACCAAGAAGCATGCCGAGTGTCACTCCCATCGATGGCGGTGTCCTGTGTCCTGAGCAATGGCGTAGGGCGCCATGCCGGTCTCCAACCGGCGTTCATCATCCAAAGGTCCTCCAAATCGACCAGACAGCTCCGCAGCACCAATGTGAAAGGCCCTCACCGAGGGGCAAGCAAACAAACGCTCATGGCTCCCTTTTCCTCAACCTTACGAGACCCTTGTGCCTGAAAGGTCATCGGCCAAGGGTGGCAAGTCGTGCCATGCGAACATGTCGGAACAAAAAGGTGTGCTTTTACAATAATAGCGATTGTAGAACAACCTGACCTGGCGAACCGACCCCAATGGACCCCGTCTTCGAAGACTGAGGTGCTGAGGTGTTTTGCAAGAATCCTCACTGAGAAGTAAGCTGATGGAGGGGATGTTTGAGAGCAAATTGATGTTTTCTTAATGGTTTGGCTATGTTTGGTTTGTGAAGTAAGTATTATGGAGTAGAGTTTTAAAAAAACTGACATGCAAAATTGCAAAATATTGCAAAATAGATCCAACACGTGCACAATTCTCTGTCTTTTTCCCATGTTTTCCCGGAGCCCCTGCAGTTCCCAGATCTTCAGCGTCCTGCACACTTGGATTTGCTGTTGAACCGGGACAGTTTTGGTCACAAAATCTTCCCTTTCAGTCCCTTAGGGTGGTCAGAGGGAGGAAAAGAATCCCCCCCAAGCACGCGAAGCCAGTTTGAGCCACACACATCCAGGGACCCTACACCGCATTTCAGCCAGCTCTTTGGAGATCCGAAGAAACGCCTTCGGTTCTTGCAGGTCGAACACGGGAGGAGGCGGCGTTTGTGGCGTCTTCTCTCGTTGCTTCTCGGTTTGAAACACGTGCCTGGACGCATGGGCATTGTACTCCAGCAAGGACTCTTCAGTACCTAAGACCTGAAGCTCCCCGGAGCGAGAGAGGAGCCACACTCGTGCGGTTGGAGCCCATAGAACAACATCCCAAACAGAAAAATCCAAAACCCGAAAATCCTGGTCAACAGAATTGAGAGCCGGTTGTGACACAAGGAAAGAATCCTGACACTGGCATTGGAAGGCAGCTGGGAGATTCAACCAGGCGATGGCCCAAAGCAAACAACATCATTTTTGAACATGTTTGTGCGTTTTTGTTCGATGAATTTCCCACTATAGCGCAAATCAACTTGAGCCAATCAGGCAAACCAGCAATGGCGCCATCAAAAAAACCCGAAAACCCAGAACCATCCAGAACCCCTCTCTCTCTGATCCTATCGTTGCCCAGTTTCGCAGCTCCTCTCCTCTCCTTCACGCGCGATCCGCTCGACTGCCCGGCCTTATAGACTTGGAGCTCTTCGGGAGCCAAGGTGAACTCCTGCCATCCGACAGACGTTGCGGCCGCGCTTCGTGCGAGACGCCAGCCCCTGCGAAGCGAGGCCATGAGGCCATCTTTTGGTGGCTCTGAAAGGCTGGCAAGGTCGACTGTTGAGGCCGGGAGGCCAACAAACGAAAAACGCTGGACTTCTAGGGAAGAAGAAGTCCAGGTTCTCCATACTTGGTGCAACAATTGTGAATGAGCCCGGGCTACAACTACACTGCTCCACATGTTCCATTCAGTAGCAAGGGTGCTATTAGCTTGGAGGTATCACTACAGTACTAGGGTCGACACCATCGCTAGTAGTTTGAAGGCCATCGCTGGTATAGGTTGGAGGCCATCGTTAGTAGGTTGGAAGCAACTGCTCGTTAGTCGACCACTAGGCTTTCCCCACTTTGCTTGTCTCCCTTGTCTCCCTTGTCTCCTCGATGCGTACATCATCGGATGGCATCAGGGGGAGTCGAGCGGGCGGAAGATGTGAGATGTGAGCGGGCGGAGGTGCTTGCGTCCATTGTCAACACCATAAGTGATGTGTCCACAAGTTAAGAACTCACATAAGATCTCACATAGCTTTTGGGTTCTTGTCATAAGCTCAGATGTCAACATATTGGCAAATGTTAACATGAGTGTGTGGCAAATGATGTCAACATCCATCATTATGTTGAGCTGGGCTGAAAATTCTTAAACTTGGTCATAAAGAAGTGGAGGCGTTGGCGGCATGTCCTCATCACTGGTAAAGCTCAACGAGCCGCATCCCACGAATGGTTGGCTAACAGGTATAATCAGGTATATAGATGTCGGTGCTTAAACCTATACTGTAGAAGCTTCTGTGCGTCTGAGTCAGATTTGCAGTGCCATTCGTTCGGTGAACCCTTGAACAACACGACGATCTTCGCAGAAGCCTTAGAAGGCGTCTTCTCAGCGATGTATCCCCAGCCTTTTCAGCTTGAGCCCATCCAAAAACATGGTCTCATCCCCAAACTCCAACTCGACATCCATCCCCATCGCACGTCGGAGAAACCACCGGGTTTCTCCGGCGGCGGTGTTCTTCGGCCTCGCGCCGGGGCCAAGCCAGCAGCGCCACCAGGCTACCGCTCAGGGCCAGCACGCCAAAGGCGCTGGCCGCAGCCGGAGTGCTCAGCGACCTGGGTGGGTGACGGGAGTGGAAGAAAGGAGCTCGAAGGAGCTCAGCTGGTGAAGAGTGGTGGGAAAAGCTGAGTGTTTGTGACAGTTGAGACATTAAGGGTGGGTGAAAGTCGAGAATGATCATGGGGAATATATTAAATATGAGTCTTGCGGATCCAGACTGTTTGGCAAGAGGGTGGCGATGTTGCCAGAATTTTGGCCAGATCTTGGTTCATCTAACTTATTGAAGCTCCTGGAAACCGGACTGTTCATTGGCAATGGGGCTGCAACATGGTCTGGCATCACAAAAGCAGAACATACATGTTCCCCCGTCACAATCTTCCACGGCTGCACTGCTGCATGCATAACCTTTCATGCAACTTTGGGCACCATGTTGCTACCACAAATTTCCCCAGGAATAGGGCAAATATACTAATGCATACTAAGAAATACTCAGACTCATACCACAAAATGTCCAACAATCCAGCCAATTTCATCAGCAAAGAACGAAATGATACTCGAGAATCCTTGACTCGACGTTCTGTTCTGTGGGGCTCGTCGGTCTCGGTCGCTCATCTGTCGGCCAGGCCACGGGAACTGAAGTCTGCCAAGGCTTGGCCATGACATTTGCTTCAGCTGCCTTCCTTGGAGAGGAGAGGAGAAGGCCATGACCAACTCCTATTAGGCCTATTAGGTATCAAACATGACGTACATGTGCAAAGAGCAAAAGTCAAAGACCTCTAAAGACCTCAACCTTCAGCTTCTCACTGTCCAAGTATCGCATTTCCCTCGCAGCCTCGGCACGCCCGAGGCGCACACGGCGCTTGAGCTCCTCATCAGGTTGCCTTTGTCCCAGGTGCCCCAAACCGCTGTGCCAGGCTTGCCCCGCAGGCTTGGGCCTGCGCCGGCGACACGCGCAGCCAACCTACCAGCCATGGCCTCCAACCTACCAGCGATGGCCTCCAAC